CTAGTAGCGATGCCCTTTGTTCCTAGTAGCGTCCTCTTGTTCCTAGTTGAAGTCCGCTGATTCCACAAGGTCGCAGCGCCTCTCTGGCAGGCCGAACAAACCGCAGCCGCACATCATCCACCTCGCATCGAATCTCGTGCTTTGGTGCATGTTACAAAATTGCGAGCATAATCAAGCCCTTGCAAACTACGGATAAACTGTCCTTTCATGTTCGATTCACTATTCAAAACAATTGTTTCATCGCTGCCGTTTTGATAAGTGCCATGGAAAAAGAATCAGAAAGAGTTCTGCCACTGCCAGTGGCCCGAGTTGCTAATTTATGCAAGCGGCCCAGTCAAAGGGCAGTTGTCCTCGCTCGGTAGCCACTCTGGCCTCACAAATGATTGAACAATTAGTGTAGTTGCTCTGAAACAAGCTCCACATCTCTTGAATGACGATATGTGCTTGAGTGTGAAACGTTATCAAATGATGCAAAATGAATGCTGCTACTTGCACAGCCAAGTCGAAGCATGCCAAGCGAAATGTACTTGGACTTGCTCGGATCGCAGACTTGGCATTCGAAAAAATGGTATCATTGTCAAGCGCGTGTCTGCTTGAAATCAGGGAAAGCTGACCAGCCTTTATTGTCGGATCCGCAATGAGCTCTGGGTCCGCATGTTCCTTGATCCAACGAACAGTGAGGGGTGTTTGCAACGTACTCTATCTGAACATTGCTGAACTACCTACAGAGTCTAAGAGAAAACAAATCAGGTGTGAGCCGCTTTAATAAGGCTGTTTTAAAGGAGACTCTATTGAAGGGGCCCGCACCTTCTAATTATTTCTAATTGTATCTTTGTTTCTTTCTCTTTTTGGAAGTGTTTCGATGATGCGAAGGTTCTTCAAGACCCTTGCATGCGGCCTACTTCCTTGCTATTCCATGCTATTCCTTGCTACCTGCTGAGACCTTCTTTGCAATTCGCTCTGGGTCGAGGACATCGATGTTCTCCCACGTTCCGAAGAGTGCTAAACCCTTTGGAACAAGGACATGTCGAGCGTAACCACGCCTGGCTGAGAGAGCTGCCCTTCTGAAAGACTTAACAAATCCTAAGTCATAAATCCTAACCAATGAGACTTATATAATTGAATGTCTAT